GGCCATCCAACATGCTGCTGACCTTTTTTAACAGGAAATGTCATATATTTACAGGTAAAATGCTGTGGACAGCTCAAAGCACCATTATTTATGAACCAATAAATTATGTCACCTTATATGGCCTGAGGGTAAAGTATCAGCAAATTATCCCCAAAATCTCTCCCTTCAATATAAAGTGCATAAGGAATAGTCTAATAAGCAGTTCATATAATTAATCATTTTGTGCTCTGAAGAAAGAAGGTTTCTACAAGTTTAAAACGACAGCCATGACATTTTTAGGGGTTTGTAGCATAGCATATCAATGCTTAAAAGTAAATTTAACGTGTAAATGTGAATATTCATGTCAAATATCCATGTAAATTTGAATAAATAAGATATTACTCATTTGAAATTACACTGTAGAAGTGAAAATACTCAATTGGCAAGTCACATGGGCATCCTACAATACATCGACCAGTAATTTCTATCCCCTAATAATAATCTTGTTATTTCTAATTCGTGCTTTCTTTCACCTTCAGAACACAATTGAAGATATTTTTATCTAATTTTAAAATTGTTGACACTTACACTGAAGCTCTATTTACTTCAAATTTGGATTTGTCAACTACCAATATACAGTCAATCTCGATCTCATCCTACTAAACAAACACTGACCAACCAGTAATCTTGATAGCTTTAAAGGGGTCATATGAAGTCATTTCAGGTTTTCTGCTGTCTTTTAAGTGTTTTTGAAAAATTATATATATATATATATATATATATATATATATATATATATATATATATATATATATATATATATATATATATATACATATACATATATATATATATATATAACAGGGATGGGCAAACTTGGTCCTTGAGGGCCGGTGTCCCTGCAGACTTTTGCTCCATCACTAATCAAACACACCTGAAAACACTAATTAGAGTCTTCAAGATTATTAGAAAGCTACAGGCAGGTGTGTTTTGATTAGGGTTGGAGCAAAACTATGCAGGACACCGGCCCTCCAGGACCAAGTTTGCCCATCCCTGATCCATAATCACAAACCCAAAAAGTTTGTTTTTTTTAATAAAAATCTTTTACATTCAATCCACTTAATCATCTGCATTTTCTGGACCAGATTCGGCATCCAATTCATAAGGTAGTAAAGGTGAAACATTTCCATCACATGCTTGAGGTATTTAGCCAATCAGACCTCATGTTTGAGAAGGATGAGATTTGTAAAATTCAAGCAGAGCAGAGACGAGCAACAATATATTAAACAATATAATTATTAATTCTTCTCATTTTGTGTTATTAAATCACGTAAACTAGAGATGTGGTGGAAAATGGTTTCAAAATCCATTCAGAGATTTTCATACTTCATTGCTAATCTCTCTTAAAATGATTTTGAGCTTAGTAGATGGCGTTAAAAACTAACCTGGAGTGTCATCTGCTGTTCAAAAGTAGCCTAGAGCACCATCTATTGTTAAAAACTAGCCTAAACACCATCCAGGGGCGTAGCAACTGAGGGGGATGGGTGGTACAGACCATTTAGAAACAGTTGATTAATACTTATATGAACGTTAACTTTTAGATCTCATTCAGCTGTCCCCCCACTTTTAAAATGTCTGCTACGCCTCTTGCACCATCTGTAGTTACAAACTAGCCAAGAGCATCACCTGCAGTTAAAAACTTGCCTAGAGTGTCATCTGCATTTATACAAGTGTTGTCTGCTGTTAAAATCTAGCCTAGAGTGCTGTGAACAATTACTCTGCATGGCCGTCTGCTGATAAAAGCTAGCCTAGAATGCCACCTACTGTGAAAAACAAGACTTAAGCGGCATCAGCTGTTAAAAACTAGCCTAAAGTGCCATCTGCTGTTAAAAACTAGCCTAGATCGCCATCTGCTGTTAAAACCAGCCTACAGCGCCATCTGTTATTAAAAACTAGCCTACAGCCCCATCTGTTGATAAACACCAGCATAGAGCACCATCTGCTGTTAAAAACTAGCCTAGAGTGCCATTTGCTGTTATAAAATAGCCTTGAGCACCATCTGCTGTTTGAAAACCAGCCTAGAGCGCCATCGCCTTTTATAAACTCGCTTAGTGTTATCTGCTGTTAAAAGCTAGCCTAGAGGACCATCTGCTGAAACTAAAGCGCCATCTGCTGTTAAAAACTAGCTTAGAGCACTAACTGCTGTTGCAAAAGCGCCATCTGCTGTTCAAAACTAGCCTAGAGTGCCATCAGCTTTTATAGTAGCCTACAGCACCATCTGCTTTTATAAACTAGCCTAGAGCACCATATGCTGTTAAAAACTAGCCAAGAGTACCATCTGCTTTAGAAAACTAGCCTAGAGTGCCATCAGCTTTTATAGTAGCCTACAGCACCATCTGCTTTTATAAACTAGCCTAGAGCACCATATGCTGTTAAAAACTAGCCTAAAGTGCCATCTGCTGTTAAAAACTAGCCTAGATCGCCATCTGCTGTTAAAACCAGCCTACAGCGCCATCTGTTATTAAAAACTAGCCTACAGCCCCATCTGTTGATAAACACCAGCATAGAGCACCATCTGCTGTTAAAAACTAGCCTAGAGTGCCATCTGCTGTTAAAACCAGCCTACAGCGCCATCTGTTTTTAAAAACTAGCCTACAGCCCCATCTGTTGATAAACACCAGAATAGAGCACCATCTGCTGTTAAAAACTAGCCTAGAGTGCCATCTGCTGTTAAAAACTAGCCTAGATCGCAATCTGCTGTTAAAACCAGCCTACAGCGCCATCTGTTTTTAAAAACTAGCCTACAGCCCCATCTGTTGATAAACACCAGAATAGAGCACCATCTGCTGTTAAAAACTAGCCTAGAGTGCCATCTGCTGTTATAAAATAGCCTTGAGCACCATCTGCTGTTTGAAAACCAGCCTAGAGCGCCATCGCCTTTTATAAACTCGCTTAGTGTTATCTGCTGTTAAAAGCTAGCCTAGAGGACCATCTGCTGAAACTAAAGCGCCATCTGCTGTTAAAAACTAGCCTAGAGCACTAACTGCTGTTGCAAAAGCGCCATCTGCTGTTCAAAACTAGCCTAGAGTGCCATCAGCTTTTATAGAAGCCTACAGCACCATCTGCTTTTATAAACTAGCCTAGAGCACCATATGCTGTTGAAAACTAGCCAAAAGTGCCATCTGCTGTTCAAAACTAGCCTAGAGTGCCATCTGCTTTTATAGTAGCCTAGAGCACCATCTGCTTTTATAAATTAGCCTACAGCACCATCTGCTTTTACAAACTAGCCTAGAGCACCATATGCTGTTAAAAACTAGCCAAGAGTGCCATCTGCTGTTAAAACCAGCCTAGAGCTCCAATTGCTGTCATAAACTAACCTAGAGCGTCATCTGTTGTTATAAACTAGCCTACAGCGCCATCTGCTGCTAGAAATCTGTGCCATCTGCTGTTATAAATTAGCCTAGAGCGCCATTTGTTGTTAAAGAATAACTTAGAGCGCCATCTGCTAATAAAAAAAAAAAAGAGTCTGGAGTACCATCTGCTATTACTAACTAGTCTAGAGCGCCATCTGCTGTCCAAAATTAAGCTCAGAATCAAGTCGAGAGAATAGCGATGCATTTTGAAAATCTCATTCATACATTCATTTTCTTATCGGCTTAGTCCCTTTATTAATCTGGGGTCGCCACAGCGGAATGAACCGCCAACTTATCCAGCACATGTTTTACGCAGCGGATGCCCTTCCAGCTGCAACCCATCACTGGGAAACACCCATACACTACGGACAATTTAGCCTACCCAATTCACCTATAGCGCATGTCTTAGACTTGTGAGAGAAACCGGAGCACGCGAACACGGGAAGAACATCCAAACTCCACACAGAAATGGCATTTTGAAAATCTCAGAAATCTCAAATTTCTCAAACTATTTTTCGCCCCAGCTCTAATATAAATATCGCATTACGCCAAACAAACAAACCATTTTTCTTTTAAAGGTGCAGTAGGTGATTGTCTTCAGAAACATTTTTTGTTGTGCTGGTTGAAAGTCTCTTCACAGTCCAATAGTAATGATCACAGTAAATGATCTAAATGTGTTTATATTTATTTTTATATTCTGGGTAAGGCATAAAACTAAAAAAATTGTTTATCCAATTAAATAGAGTCGGACCGACATCTCCCTTAATTCCGATAGGCAGGTCAGACTGTCTGTCAGCAAATGTAGATTCGGACTTCTGCGCATCTGTTCACGCAGATCCGCCATTAGCGCGTGCCCGTCTGCATCACAAACGCATGCGCTCCGAGCGAGCTGCGGGCCGAGCGAGCTGCGGGCCGCTCGCAGATGCCGAGTTGGAGCTGGAGGCGCCGAAGGACAGCCGAGCTCGGGCCGATTACTGTAAAGCCAGGCGCGGGTATAATTCGCCCTTAAAGCAGCCGCGCAGTCACGAGACGGACCGGGAGAAATCAAAAGCTGAATTGAAACTTTTAAAAACCTGAATCAACATTGGAGTTACTTTAGCACGCTGGAGGAAGGACGACACCATGGCTGAAGTATTACTGTTAGACAGGTAATGTTCTGTTTTAAAACTATTTTATGTTAGATTGTGTTGTGTTATGAATGGGTTATATGCACAGACGTGTTGTTCAGCCACTGAAATCTCCCGGTGAAAGATTGATGTGATTATTTTTAGTTTCAGAAGGTTCTTTAACAGCATCTATAATGTAGATTTATATTTAGTTTAACAACAAAACACCAGTAAATAGCGCTATTCTGCCTAACTGCTTTACTGAGCTGAAGTTGCTTTTATATTCACATTGGGTCATTTTTGAACTATGATAGCCTTCCTATACTGTTTACCGCTACTCTGAATATTCACTCTGAAATAGCATGTAAGTGTGGCAAAGTATTTCATGTAAATCCTGCACGGCGCTGGCACTAACTAACTGGCGAATGACATGAACTAGTGGGTTGTCTGTCTGCTGTTTTGACACGGTGCGCTCGCGATTTCAGGGGGTGTGGCTTTGAATCACAGTCCCTCCCCGCCGTCCAAAGATAATATGCTAAGCTGTTAGCATTTTGGCAGATCACCTACTGCACCTTTAAGCAACCTCATATGACCTCTTCAACCCTTAAAATGTTCTTTTACAAATGTTTTTCCAGTAAGCCACCGGTAACATGGTTCATTTTAGCATAGTGGAGAATCCTGTCATAACAAAGATCCAACAGACCATCAACGGGAGCGATTTGATCTCATCTCGTGTTTCCAGTAAAGCATTTTCAATATTATGTCCTCTGAAGAGCAACATGGTGTTTATAAGGCCACGGTTACATAAGTACAGTTAATAGCCGCCATATGAGTTCAAGACAGTCAGTAGAAAAGAAAAAAAGAGGCAAGAATGGAATGAAAAAGATGAAAAATAAAAATTAATCCACAGATAGAAAAATAGATGCTCATGCTTTGTTAGTGCAGTATGAGATGAGAGATGGAGGAAAAGCGTTAGTCAGCATGCAGCAGCAGCGACCGGCGGGCTCTGGAGCAGCGTGACCAGGAAGAAGAGGGTGGAGGTGGGCAGGCAGACAGACAGGAAGATGATCATGTCCTGTGTGAGGCAGAGCACCAGCGTGTGCTCCGTCAGGGCCCAGTCCATCAGCACACACAGCAGCAGGTAGTACAGGTGAAACTCCTGTAAGGCCTGCCACTCTGCCCCCGCCGAGCCCCCGTCACCACTCACCATGGCCTTCACCTCAGTCAACTCTACCTCTTCCTTGGGGCGGGCACGCTTGCTGCGCCCCCGCTCCTCCATCGCCATCGACCGCCGGCTGTTCTCCACAAACTCCTGCAGGGAGAGAAACACAGCAATCAAACTGGAGTCTCAGACAGATCATACAAGCAACGTCACACCAAGATGGTCTGACATGAAGGTAAACAAATGTATATACACAGTTTAAACATATATATCTATATATACCACAGTGCACAGTACACAGTGTACTTTGATGCACCTTTGGCAGCAATTACAGCCTCAAGTCTTTTTGAATATGATGCCACAAGCTTGGCACACCCGTCTTTGGGAATTTTTGCCCATTCCTCTTTGCAGTTCCTCTCAAACTCAATCAGGTTGGATGGGAAGCGACGGTGTACAGCAGTTTTCAGATCTCTCCAGAGATGTTCAATAGGATTTAGGTCTGTGCTCTGGCTGGAGCACTCATTCACATTTACAGAGTTGTTGCGAAGCCCCTCCATTGCTATTTTGACGGTGTGCTTTGGGTTATTGTCCTGCTGGAAGAAGAACCGTCGTCTGAGGTCAAGAGCACTCTGAGGCAGGTTTTCATTCAGGATGTCTCTGTTCATTGCTGCATTCATCTTTCCCTCTATCCTGACTAGTCTTTCAGTTCCTGTGCTGAAAAACATCCCCACAGCATGATGCTGCCACCACCATGCTTCACTGTAGGGATGGTATTAGTCTGCTGGTGAGCGGTGCCTGGTTTTCTCCAAACGTAACGCCTGGCATTCACTCCAAAGAGTTCAATTTTAGTCTCATCAGTCCAGACAATTTAGTTTCTTATGGTCTGAGAGTCCTTCAGATGCCTTTTGGCAAATTCCAGGTGGGGAGTGGCTTCCGTCTGGCCACTCTACCATACAGGCCTGATTGGTGGATTGCTGCACAGATGGTTGTCTTTCTGTAAGGTTTGCCACTCTCCACAGAAGATTGCTGGAGCTTAGACAGAGTGTCTATCGGGTTATCGATCACCTCCCTGATTACGGCCCTTCTCCCCAATCACTCAGCTTAGATTTGCCGGCCAGCTCCAGGAAGAGTCCTGGTGGTTCCAAACATCTTCCACTTACGGATGTTGGAGGCCACTGTGCTCGTTGGAACTTTCAGAGCAGCAGAAACTTTTCTGTAACCTTCCCCAGCCTTGTGCCTCGAGACAATCCTTTCTCGGAGGTCTACAGACAATTCCTTTGTCTTCATGCTTGGTTTGTGCCTTGACATGCACTGTCAACCCTGGGCCCTTATATAGACAGGTGTAAGCCTTTTCAAATCATGTCCAATCAACTGAATTTACAGGTGAACTCCAATTAAGCTGCTGAAACATCTCAAGAATGATCAGTGGAAACAGAATGTACCTGAGCTCAATTTAAAGCTTCACCGCAAAGCCTGTGAATACTTCTGTACATGTGATTTTTCAGGGTTTTTTATCTTTAATAAATTTGCAACAATTTCAAAAAATCTTTTTTTCACATCATCATTATGGGGTATTGTGTGTAGAATTTTGAGGAAATAAATGAATTGAATCCATTTTGGAATAAGGCTGTAATATAAAATGATGTGGAAAAAGTGAAGCGCTAGAATACTTTCAGGATGCACTGTATTATTCACGTAGCGCAGGTTTGAATTGAATCTTTTAATGTTTAATTGTGCAGCTTTAAAGTGACATAAAACACCTTTAATTAATAAACTAAGAAAGCATTTAGGCAGGTCCCACCACAACTCTTTCCGTCATCCCTTATCGTCACATTTTATGGAGAAGCTAAAATGCTTTCAGACATGTGATTAGATTGGCGCGGGAGGCGAACTCTCTGCAATTGTTTTAAATGTTGGATTAACCTAACAATTGAAAAACAGTTATTAATTCGCGGGTCACATGCATTCTGAACTGTGGGTTGTGATCCATACGCATCATAGATCAACCGTGATCATTACCCCCCTACTCATTATACACATACATGGGGAAAATTACACAATATACATGTTAAACTAGCAAGACATACATTTAAGCAGGCCTTACATCACTATATATATATATATATATATATATATATATATATATATATATATATATATATAGACGGATTATACATATTATATAGAATATATATATACACACACACACACACACACACACATATATATATATACACACACACACACTATATATATATATATATATATATATATATATATATATATATATATATATATATATGTATATATACACACACACATATATATATATATATACACACACACACACACATATATATATATATATATATATATATATATATACATATATATATATATATATATATATATATATATATATATATATATATATATATATATATATATATATATATATATATATATATATATAGTTCTATAATGACTATATAATGTCTAATTTATATATATAGACGGATTATACATATTATATAGAATATATATACATATATACACACACACACACATATATATATACATATACATATATATATATATATATATATATATATATATATATATATATATATACACACACATATATATACACACACACACATACATACATACATATACATACATACATATATATATACATATATATATATATATATATATATATATATATAGTTCTATAATGACTATATAATGTCTAATTTTCAAAATAAGAGTCACATACATAGTAAGTACAAGCTTAAAATAACTTAAGATTAAAAGCAATCACTGTTGTAATCTCACACAGAAATGTTGTGACCAATCAAATGCTGCCAGTGGGCGTCTTCTGGATCATCAGAGTCTGCGTTTTGTTCCGACTGTCTTGTTTTTGACTGTGATTTACATGAAAATGAGCAAACAATAGTGTTCAAGGCTCACGGTATGCCATTTCCACATACTAAAGTCTTATTATTCAGCTATGATTAGGTACATATTAGCCCGTTTTCATTCTATGGCATCTTTAAAGCTTTATTTACTAATTTAGTTTCTATTTCTGAGCATAAAACAAGCAATTGGAGAAATTTCTATAAGATTTTATGAGCTATGCTTTCTTACTGAAACAATGAATCTCTTCCAATCTACCTTAATGACCTTAATTCTGCTAAATAAGTAATAAAGACAGCTACCAAGCAGACTATACAGTTTCTTAGTGTGCAGGTGTAAAACATGCTGAAATGACACGACTAGCTGCACAGATATTTTAAACCAAAGCAGCTCTCAGAAGGAAAGCATATTTTACATGTTCCCAAAGTCTGTTGCTGCGCCTCAACCTTTACTGCCAGTGACTTTGCATTTCTAAAGGGCCGTGACTCTCTGAAGTACCTCAAGGTTCAATCCATCTCTTTTGATGCCACAAAGCTGATTTGGCTGACAACGTAAAAAGGAGAATGCAGCTTTTTAAAAAGAAAACAGCCCTGCAAGGTTTCTTTCTATATATATATATATTTTAAATGGTTTTACGTAATGTATCAACAAGACAACACACAAAAAGAAGAAAAAAATAAAAATAAATAAACACAATAAATAATAATAAAATAAACTGACCCCCCAAAAAATTATAATAAAAAAAATATATAAATAAATAAATAAATAAATAAGTGAGGGACATTTAACATAGTCAACACAAGATTATGAATTAACAACAGAGTAAATTCAGTCATTACTATGAGAGTAGTAGTGCACTATTCGGTTTTGAGGAAATCCAGAAAGGATTGCCAGGCAGTTTGAAATTGCAGATCAGATTTAGGCTCCAGGAAACATATCCTCTCCAGCTGTATGACATGAAAAAATTCACCCAACTAAGCTTTAAAACATGGGGAGTCTGGGGATTTCCAGTTTAATAAAATTGTTTTGTTTTGTTTTTGTTTTTTTGCAAGAATCATTCCAATCAATAGAGGTTGTCCATCTGGTGACTGGGCTGGCCAATCCTGGTGCACCTTAACCTACTTTCCTTTCAGGAGCTTTGATGTGGAGGCTGAAGTATGAGGAGCGCTATCCTGCTGAAGAATTTGCCCTCTCCTGTGGTTTGTAATGTATTGGGCAGCACAAATTTCTTGATACTTCAGACTGTTGATGTTGCCATCCACTCTGCAGATACTGAATGTGACTCCAAACCATAATTTTTCCTTCACCAAACTTGACTGATTTCAGTGAGAATCTTGGGTCCATGTGGGTTCCAGTTGGTCTGCAGTATTTGTGATGATTGGGATGCAGCTCAACAGATGATTCATCTGAAAAATCGACCTTCTGCTACTTTTCCAAATCATCAACTAGAAGTCAAGCTATTATTTGTTTCTCTTACAATTGGGATTGACGACACTTCTTTTGTCAGGAAGTGTAGGTAAGGGTATCATGTTAAGGTAATTAAAATTATAATCGAGTTAGAGTAATTAGACAAGTCGATTTTCCAACAAAATAATACTAAATCAATAAATGAATCAACCAGCTTTTCAAAACAAAAGCTGAAAGTTGTCCAGAGAGAATATCTGGGACACCACCTGAATCTTAAAATATTAATATATCCAGGCCTGCAGAGAGCCTGCATTCAAAACGAACGAACTCAAAACAGGAACGTGACTCAGACGGCAAGTGTGCGCGCAACACTGAGACTATTTATGGCGTTTTTCAGACAGATTGCGAGCTTTTCTCCGTCTGTGACTCACCATCAGGGCCTTGTCCATGTAGAACTCTCTTCCAGGTGTGCCGTTGTTGTATTTGGTGTCGATGGCGAAGCAGAGGAAGAGCACGTCCACCACGATCTCGAAGATGGACAGGAAGCAGTGGGCCACCAGAAACGCAAACAGACACACGATGATGAGCGGCAGGACCCACTCGGTGTAATCTCTCTGATAGTTCAGCGCCAGAACGCCGGCGAACGCCGTGCATGTCACGATCAGGACCTGCAGAAGGAACAGACAAGTATTTAGCAGGTAGAGCAACCAAGTAACCAATAAAGCACCAGTGTTTACAGCACAGGTTCGAACAACTCAAACAGATCATTACTGGAAACTTTTCTTTCAACTTTTCAACCATGTAATCTTGAAAACAGCAGGTGAGTTGAATATATCTTAAAAAAACAGTGACATGCAACAATATCAATGCTAGTATGGTCATCCATTTGTCTTTAACTAGGCTAATTAGGTTGGCAGGTTAGGATAATTAGGCAAGTGATTGTATAACAGTGGTTTGTTTTGTAGACTATATAAAAATATATAGCTTATAGGGGCTAATAATATTGACCTTAAAGAAAATAAAAATTTTAAAACTCCTTTTATTCTAGCCAAAATAAAAAAATAAAAGAATAAAATTATCGGAAATGATGTAAAAAAATTTCTTGCTGTTTAACATCATTTGGGAAAATTTAGAAAAAGAAAATTGTCAGGACTACACTATATACACAAACACATTAGGTTTAAACCCATTATTTATGTAACCCTAGAACACAAGTGTCAAAATGTACTGTTTTATATGCCATAACTAATTAGGATATTAAAAATCACATATTATGTAGGCATTTTGTACATTTTCACCCGAGTATATCAAAATGTAATTTTTGATTAATTATTTACATTGATAGGACCTTAATTTGGACAACAAAAGTTTTTTTTAAAAATATATTTTCAAAGATTTTTGTCAATATTTGAAGTTTTTTCGATCCCTCAGATTCCAGATTTTCAAATAGAAATATCTTATATTGATATATAGAAATACTGATACAGATATATGCAAATATTGTCACATCCTTACAAACCATACATCAATGGAAAACTTATTTAATAAGCTTTTTATAAATAAGCAACAACAACATTTATCAAAAACTTTACTCTTTCGGCTTCATATATTTTTTATTTAATGTTTTTAATAAATTTTTATAAAATTATTTTTATTAAATTATTTTAAATAAATAATTAGTGAAAAAAGGTTTTGTTGGATGGTGAAACACTGAAGGCTACTGGTAATTCCTATTTTTTAAGTTTTCATAAAGAAAAAAAAAAGAAAATAAGGATAAATGAATGAAAACTGTCATTATTTACTCAATTCAATTGAATTCACCTTTATTTGTAGAGCGCTTTTACAATGTAGATTGTGTCAAAGCAGCCTCACACAGAAGATCATAGTAAATTGAAACAGTGTAGTTCAGTTTTCAGAGTTTAAGTTCAGTTCAGTGTGGTTTAATAGTCACTACTAAGAGTCCAAACACTGAAGAGCAAATCCATCCATGCACAGCTCTACAGTCAACCTTTTCTAATCCTAAACCTTTTTGCGACCCTTTCCTTTTTCCATTGTACTCAAATTAAGTTATTTATTTTAAATAATTTTTAGAAATTACTGACTTCCATAGTAAAAAAAAAATAATAATAATATGGAAGTCGATGGTTACAGGTTTTGAAGAAAACTTTCTTCAAAATATCTCCACTTGTGTTATCTAAAAGATGTAGAACATTTCTAATTTTTTGAGTGAACTATCCCTCTAACATTATTATTAATAATAACACCATATCATAACTTCAAAATCATCTCACTCTGGTTTATTAATGACGTTAAAAACTCAGCTTGGCAATCACAGGAATAAATGCCAAATTAAAATATATTTATATATAGATATAGGACAGTTATTAAAAATCTGAACCTGTGTGTATACAGTTTTTTTTTTAAGGCGACACGGTGGCTCACAGCAAAAAGTTCTCTGGTTCGAGTCCCAGCTGGGTCAGTTGGCATTTATGTGTCAAATTAGCATGTTCTCCCCGTGTTAGCGTGGGTTTCCTCCAGGTGCTCTGGTTTCCCCCACAGTCCAAACACATGCAAAATAAATGAATTGAATAAACTAAGGGCCTACTCACACTACCCTATCTGAACCTTGCCCAGGCCCGTTTCCCAGATCATCTGAGAAGTGTGAGTGCGCTGAATCCAGCTCAGGCACGGTTCACTTGGCTGACCCTGGCCCGGTTGAAAGAGGTGTGGAAGAGCGCGGTAAACTTGGGCTTTAGCGCAATACACGTGTGTGAGTGCAAAATGCGCCTAAGCCTGAAACGGAAAGCGAAACGTGACTTTTAAGGAACAGTTTGATATGCATTTATTAATAATTCTTACTGTTCAACGAATGCAAACTGTCGTAGGTTATTAAAGATGCAAACCCCTCACCAGGCACGAAAGCTGCACACCTCCAGCAAACCTCCTAATTCCTGCAGCACGAGGACTTTATGATTTGAGCGTCAGAATGGCAGATCTGTTCGACGAAATATTTGACTGCGTGTCACTGGATGTCAAAAGATATAACTAAAGAAATCACCACTGTGCTGAGCGAGAGCGCTACTAAACAGTGCATCATCGATAAGTGTGCCCAGACCCGAATGTAATGTGAGTGCGGGCCGTCGGGGGAGACATGAGGGGGGACAAGCGTGCTTTGGCCCGGTTCAAGGCAACTGTACATAGTGTGAGTACACCCTAAATTGGCCGTAGTGTGTGAGTGTGCATGTGAGAGTGTATAGGTGTTTCCAAATACTGGGTTGCAGCTGGAAGGCCATTCGCTGCGTAAAAACACATGCTTGATAAGTTGGCGTTCATTCTGCTGCGGCGACCCCAGATTAATAAAGGACTGAAGGAAAATAAAAGAGTGAATATATGTTTTTAAATATTATTATTTATTTATATTTCTCAACACTAGTGATTTTGGTGTATTTTGAATAAAATGTAGTCTTGCTGAGAGTACATTCTTTTAAAAACTTGACAAGAGTCATCATCTAAATCAGGGGTGTCCAAACTACGGCCCGCGGGCCATCTACGGCCCGCAATCAGTTTTGTGGCAGCCCGCGAGGTTTTTTATTAAAATTAATAGAATCTGGCCCGCTATACAAAAATGAATGTAATTCAATAAATAACCACCGGGTGTTGCTATGACACGCCTTCAATTAGGCAGCAGTTCTTGTTATGATGTAAAACTAATCGACCAAACTGAAGGAAACATAATTGATAAATCACATTTTGGCGAGCCATGGCGAAAAAGGAAAATCAACAGTCAGTGCAGGAAGTTTCAGTCACGTTGGGGCAAAGAATATTTCTTCACAGAGGTCAGTGGGAAATGTATGTGTTTAATTTGCCAGGAAACAAAGCATCAGGCCGTCAGCTCTTACACTGGTGCCGAATGAGAGTAAAACAATTAGCAGCTGCCCTGTCAGCTCAACAACAGCAGTTTTTTCGTGCTAATAAAGTGCAAGAAAATTCTACACTGCACTGCAAAAAAGGCTTTTTTTATTTATATTTTTTGTCTTGTTCAAAGTCCAATTATCTAAAAAAATCTTAAATAAAGGAGAATTTTCTTATTTGTTTTGAGAAATAATATGCCAATATTAAGTGAGTTTTTCCTTAAAACAAGCAAATTAATCTGCCAATGGTATAAGCTAGGCTTGGGCGATATTACGGTATTATGGTATACCGCGGGATCTAAAAATAGCAACGGTGTCAGTTTCAATACCGTTATACCGTCATAAAGTATTAAATATCCTTTATTTAATGCCTAAAAAACGTGTGTGTGGTTGTCATCACGAGACAGTGTGGAGGAGACGTGACGTGACGTGACGAGTCGCGCTTCAAAGTGTCCTGCAGTTTGGCAGTTTAGACTGAACAGAAGGGAGACGTGGTTAATATGAACGAGAGGTCTGCATTAGAGCTGAAGATCTTTGCCCGAACCCGGCGAGGCCCGAAAAAATCCAAATCCCTGCAATAAAATTCATCCCTGCAAAGGTGAAGCAAATTATGACGAAGTAGTAAAAAAAGAGAATTTTGACGGCGGTCAAGCCAGTCAGAAAGAGCGGTTATTCCAGCCGCAGGTATTTAGCGGTCGCTCATACACTGCGTATTACGGTAGAGCCCTAAACCGCAAGCTGACAGGTAAAATGACGAGGCCACTCGCTACCCTGAAACTACGGTCATGGAAAATTAAATGGATGTTCCTGACTGGTATAAGATGAATAAACAATCCTACCTAAAACTTGCAAAATCAGCCAGATCAGAACTCTGCACCGCGGCCTGTAGCAGTAGCAGTGAAACGGTGTTCAGTGCTGCTGGACGCACATGAGCGCAAGACTGCGCTAAAGCCAGTGGATTTAATAATGTTCCTCCACAAAAACACGTAGCCTAATCTTGGTGAGTAAAGGGTTTTTAATTATAAATAAATATTAGTTAAACCATATAATCATAATGTAGACAGAGTATACAGACTAATGGTGGCATTATTCTTTTAATATTCAGCTTCAATTTAGTTACTGCCAAAATACCCGTCATTATTTAGAGTTTATTTGATTTGTTAAGCAAGATTTCTTTTCATTGGTGTGTTGGCCTATTTAAAGGCTAAGTGCATGTAGACCTATAGAGTGCTGAGATGTTACGATGTTACAGAGGACTTATTTTATTTCTTTGTTCCAACTTTCAAGTGGGATATAGTCTACGTTTGTTACGAATAAATGCTGTTAAAACATATAAATGACTCATTCTTGAAAAAATGCATTACAGCTGTAAGGGCTCGGGCTTTATAAAGCTGTCAATCAAAATGTACGTGTCGGATTCGGGACCTATCGGGTATAATTTTTATGGCCCGATTACAGCTCTCTGCATTCCCGCGGGAGCCGGCCAGATTTCTTACGGTGTGGGAGTAAATTTCTGAATAAATCGCGGGAGAGATGTGTGTGTGTTTGTGTAAGACAGAGAAAGTCTCTCTCTCTCTCTCTCTCTCTCTCTCTCTCTCTCTCTCTCTCTCTCTCTCTCTCTCTCTCTCTCTCTCTCTCTGCAAGCCTAAGGTCGCATAGAAGGTATTCAGTTTCTGAATGGTTTAGGCTCAAGCCAACAGTTTGGTGACGCTGTCTGAGCCTTACGTCATAATTTTTTTTATTACGCCGGTAATACCGGATACCGGGGTAAAATATGGAGGCGGTTTGACGGTCTCAAAATTTGGACACCGCCCAAGCCTAGTATAAGCAAAATAATCTTTTGACGTAAGATTATTTTGTTTACCCCTTTGGCAGATTAATTTGCTTGTTTTAAGGAAAAACTCACTTAATATTGGCATATTATTTCTCAAAACAAGAATATATGTTTTGCTTGTCTAGAAAATTTTTCTTGATTTGAGAATTTTTAGATATTTGGACTCGAAACAAGACAAAAAAATCTAAGTAAGAAAAGCAGTTTTTGCAGTGTGGCGAGTTATGAGGTAGCTCAGCTAATCGCACAGCACAGGAAACCCTTCACTGAAGGAGAATTTATAAAGGATGAGTGTTTCAACTGTAATTTGCCCAGAGAAGATTCAAGTTTTTCAAAAACACAGTCGGATTACGAAATAAAATAATTCCATAATAATACACACACACACACACGAGGATGGATGGATGGATGGATGGATGGATGGATAGATGGATTTGTGGATAGATGGATGGATGGATGGATGGATAGATAGATTTGTGGATAGATGGATGGATGTATGGATAGATAGATTTGTGGATAGATGGATGGATGGATGGATAGATAGATTTGTGGATAGATGGATGGATGGATGGATAGATAGATTTGTGGATAGATGGATGGATGGATAGATAGATAGATAGATAGATAGATAGATAGATAGATAGATAGATAGATAGATAGATAGATAGATAGATAGATAGATGGATAGAAAGATTTGTGGATGGATGGATGGATAGATGGATTTGTGGATAGATGGATGGATGGATGGATAGATGGATTTGTGGATAGATGGATGGATGGATGGATAGATGGATTTGTGGATAGATGGATGAATGGATGGATAGATGGATTTGTGGATAGATGGATGGATGGATGGATAGATAGATTTGTGGATAGATGGATGGATGGATAGATAGATTTGTGGATGGATGGATGGATGGATGGATGGATAGATGGATAGATGGATAGATGGATAGATGGATAGATAGATAGATAGATAGATAGATAGATAGATAGATAGATAGATAGATAGATAGATAGATAGATAGACAAAGCCCATAAGCGCTTCTACCTTTCCCAGGAAGAGAACAAAATCTCCAACGGTGTTGATGGTGGCCACCCTCAGAGCGTTCTCCACCAGGATCATGAAGGCATCGCGAGCCGACGTGCAGAAACTGGTGCTGTTGATGGCCGTCGCCGCATACGCATTCTACACACACAGAACACATCAGTAAATGAATGAATGAAGTAAAGTTTCCGATCTCTCCAGAGTGACGTATAAACAGACTCACCTGATTCAGATAATTGAGGCACTTCTCCAGACACCACAGACAGCAGATACAGGCTTTCAGCATGCAGCGAGCGCACGCGTTTTCCTGAACAACACAAACACAAGGACTTTACCCACAGTGCATCTGTCTGTTGTGTGTTTGTTAACCCTTTATTGCATCGAATCTGCTTGTGTGAACCAGACGCTGGTATCTATTAGAGCTCATAATATTACAGAGATCCCCCGTTACGTATCAAGTAAATGAGACGCCACCGAAGTGGAAGCCAAGAGGACAATAATAAATAGATTGTGGAATTAACTTTGAAGCATGCAAGATCTGACTGCTGATTAGCAAAACGAGCATTTTGGTTTTTATTTTAGTCATTCTAGAAAATAAGGATGAAATAAAAATGATTTAACCTTAAAATTTGCATTTGTGGTAGTATTTTTGATAGTTTTGATATCCCCGGTTGTTGATATTGTTCGTCCTTGTTTCATTTACACTGTGTTGTTGTTCGAATTTTGTAGCCGTCTATTCTTCACCTTGTCAAAGAGCTTAGAATGACCAAGAGGCGACACTCAATACAACGTACCATTGCAACAGCAGCGCCCAGCAACAGCCTGGGATTCCACCATTTTGGAGTGAAAGCGATCGGCTGCCCATTGGATTTTATTGCTGTCGCGATGGCAAACAGCTGCTTTGTTTTTTATTTATTTATTTAAAAAGTGCATTAAAGTCGAGATACAGCCCGAAAGACGACAGAACAGCACTTTCTATCACAATCATCAGCACTTTTAATAGTCTATTTTACAGACTTAAAATGTGCTGTTGTTCTATTGTCATTTTCATTCCAAAATGGCCGCCGCGCCATCTAGTGGCTGTTTCCCAAATTTCGCTAGAGTGTCGCCTCTTGGTGATTCTATGCTCTTTGCCCTTGTGTTACCATTTCTTCTCTACCCTAGTGGTAGTCATTGAAGTTAGAAAGCCTGGTAGGTAGGTAAGTCAGGTGACAGACATCTCAACACGTAGGTTTGCGACTGTAGGGATACACTAGTTGAGTTTGTGCACCTACCCTCGTATTTTTGGTTAAGTTGTTAGTGTAGATAAGGTAAGACGTCATTGACAGTGACAATTTATTTTTCATATCTTTTGTTTAATAAATTAAATTAAAGGGGACTGTTTTTGAATATTAGTAAGATTTAGTTTTAGTATTAGTTAAATTTCATTGTTTATTGTTTCTTAAGTTGTTCATATTGTAAATAACTCGCTCACTTTTTCATTGTCACCACTAGTAAATAAATCACTATTATTTGGACACAAGTTGTTGTTGTTGTGTTATATATATATATATATATATATATATATATATATATATATATATATATAAAATTATAGTTGAAGTCAGAAACCCCCTTTGAAATTTTTTTCTTTTTTAAATATATTTACTAAATGAAGTTGAACAGAGCAAGGAAATTTTCACAGTATGTCTGATAATATTTTTTCTTCTTGAGAAAGTCTTATTTGTTTTTTTCGACTAAAATAAAAGCAGTTTTTGATTTTTTAAAAGCCATTTTAAGATCAAAATTATTAGCCCCTTTAAGCTAGTTTTTTTTTGATAGTCTACAGAACAAACCATCGTTATACAATAACTTGCCTAATTACCCTAACCTGCCTAGTTAACCTAATTAACCTAGTTAAGCCTTTAAATGTCACTTTAAGCTGTATAGAAGTGTCTTGCAAAATATCTAGTCAAATATTATTCACTGTCATCATGGCAAAGATAAAATAAATCAGTTATTAGAAATGAGTTATTAAAACTATTATGTTTAGAAATGTGTTGAAGAAAAATCTTCTCTTTGTTAAACAGAAATTGGGGAAAAAAATAAACAGGGGCTAATAATTCAGGGGGGGGGTAATAATTCTCACTTCAACTGTATATATATATATATATATATATATATATATATATATATATATATATATATATATATATATATATATATATATATATATATATATATATATATATATATAAATAATTTTTTATATACTTTTTATTTAGTAATACAAGTTGTTGCTTTTATGAGGTACAAATTATTAATGAACTACTTTCTATACTTAATGTCATTAGAATAATAATTTAAAAATGCAGATATTTTTAAAAAATGATCAAGAACAAAACAACAATTGACCCTCTACACCGTTATAATGCATCGATAAAACTGCACACCGTCTCCATCACACACAGAGTAAAAATGCAAAAATTCTCCTTCAATTTTTTTGTACCCCCATAAAACTTTTCCTACTATCAGTCAATGGCTAATGTAACTGTCCCAAAACAGCATATTCAGCTTATTCTTGCCCTAATGAAAACTGCCTGCCATAAGCATAAAACTGCCATGAGTTCAGACTGATGCAGTGAGAGAGAGAGATACAGATTTGGATCTCAAGATCAAGGGTGTCAAACTTAGTTCCTGGAGGGCTGCAGCCCTGAACAGTTTAGTTCCAACCCTGCTTCAACACACTTAACTGGAGGTTTAAAACAAACCTGAAGGACTCAATTAGTTTGATCAGGTGTGTTTAATTAAAATTAAAGCTAAACTGTGCAGAGCTGCGGCCCTCCAGAAAATGAGATTGACACCTGTGCTCTAGAAGGTGAACGGTGGTGGGACGGGATCTGTGTCCTCACCTTGCCTTTCAGCTGGTTGTGGATGTACATGAGAATGAGGCGCGGGATCTTGACCAGGGTGATGATGAAGGAGCCCTTGGCCACAGTGCCCAGGTGATACCGCACCAAACGCAGCACCGACGACAGGATGGGCGTCACCGGCAGTTTGGTCTTATCCCTGGATACATGGGAAATATCTTTGATTTTCAACTTAATGATAATAGAAAAATATTAGAAACCAGCAGCCATTGATTTCCATAGTAGTTGTTTTCCTACTACAGTATGAATGGCATTCAACATTCTACAAAATATCTTCTTTTCTGTTCAATGTAAAAAAAATAAAATAAAAATTTATGAAGGTCTGAAATTTGAAGGTGAGTAAACGAGCAGTACATTTTCATGTCTATCCTTATTATACAGTACTATACTGACTGTTCAGTTGACAAATAAACTAGAAAAAATAAAGGTTGACCAGTAGCATATGAGAGTTTTCCTCTAGAAACACCGACCTTGTGAAATAGTAGGTCACCACAGCTCCGGCGACGGTCATCTGCTGACAGGCCAGGATGAACTCACTGATCCAGATCAAGCCCACCGCGTGATACCACGTCATGTACTGCAGCGCCCCTGACAGCCTGAACTCCACTAACCCCGTATCCTCATTCTTCTCTGGGTTCCCTGCGGACACAAACACACAAACTGCAGTCTGAGATCTCCACTTCTGAAGAGACTGCAAAACTAATGCATGTTTAAAATGAGGAAGAGTTGCAGGAGCACAGTCGGGTAATTGTGCTGCAGTACATAAACGTCCCACATTATCTGTAAAAACAAACACTTGAACAGTGGAATATTTTAAGCCTTGTACACATTATGTCGGAGGAAAAATAGAAGCAAAACAATTCATGAGTTCAATTAACTTTTCATGAGCGATTTAAGGGATATTGACCTAATATACACTCACCGGCCACTTTATTAGGTACACCTGTCCTGCTGCTCGTTAACGCAAAATTTCTAATCAGCCAATGACATTGCAGCAACTCAAAGCATTTAGGCATCTAGACATGGACAAGATGCAGTTCAAACTGAGCATCAGAATGGGAAAGAAAGGTGATTTAAGTGACTTTGAATGTGGCATGGTTGTTGATGCCAGACGGGCTGGTCTGAGTATTTCAGAAACTGCTGATCTACTGGGATTTTCACGCACAACCATCTCTAGGGTTTACAGAGAATGGGCCGAAAAAGAGAAATTGTCCAGTGAGTGTCAGGTCTGTGGGCGCAAATGCATTGTTGATGCCAGAGGTCAGAGGAGAATGGCCAGACTGGTTCAAGCTGATAGAAAGGTAACAGTAACTCAATTAACCACTGGTTACAACAGAGGTTTGCAGAAGAGCAGCTCTGAATGCACAACATGTAAATCGTTAATCACCTCGGACTGGTTTCTTGAATATAACAATGATTTCGCTGTACTCAAATGGCCTCCACAGATACCAGATCTCAGACCAATTGAGCACCTTTAGATGTGCAGCCTACAAATCTGCAGCAACCGCGTGATGTTATCATGTCAATATAGACCAGGCATGGGCAAACTTGATTCTGGAGGGCCGGTGTCCCTGCAGTCTTTTGCTCCAACACTAATAACACACCTGAAAACACGAATCAGTGTCTTCAAGATTACTAGAAAGCTGCAGGCATGTGTGTTTGATTAAGGTTGGGGCAAAACTATACAGGACACCGGCCCTCCAGGATCCGGTTTGCCCATCCCTGATATGGACCTAAAGCTCTGAGGAATATGTCCAGTACCTTGTTGAATCTATGCCATGAAGGCATTAAGGCAGTTCTAAAAGCAAAAGGGGTCCAACCCGGTACTAATAAGGTGTACCTAATAAAGTGGCTGTCTACAGGTGTAGTAACGAGCAAACAAAGAAAACAAAGCACAAAGGCTGAACATTTCATAGGTAATATTAAGTTTTTTTCTCCCGACCATAGATATATGTGTGTATGTGTATATCTCTGGCTTTGGATGGCCACAGTTCTCCACTGTACATTGGTCCCGCATTCATTTCAAAGGAGCGCTACCCTGTACCAAGATGGCGGCGCTATTGACTCATTCCGTCCAATAGACAACAATAGGCCAGGTGACATCTAGTGTATATATCTATGGCTAGCCTACCCTGTTGTAGTCTATTGGAAGGAATGCGTCAATAGAGCCGCCATTTTAGTACAGGGTAGCGCTCCTTTGAAATGAATGTGGGACCAAGCAGCAGTGGAGGACTGTGGCCATCCAGAGCCAGAGATATACACATATATCTATGATCGAGAGTTTTCCCGGAGGTCAGTATGCAATTTTTTTTTTTTATTACAAAAATTATAATTAATAAAGTGATCGCACAGGCATTCCTGACAAAAAGCTTGTGTTTGTGTGTATGGAAATGTACTATCCACCCGCCCTGTTAAAGTTGATCTTATCCATGTCCTGAAACACACCTCCTCTCCTGCTTTCACTTCTCATTCTGACGGAGGGAGCGAATCGTTTATGAATGAATCCCCGTTATGAACGACTCCTTCAGTTAGCCGACAAAAATACAGAAATAGAAAAAGTTTCTAGCATCGCAGCATCTCGTTGTCATATTTCTTTTGCATTGTTTGCTGATTTTATTCAACAAAACTAGCATAAGCCGAGTGTTTAGTGCGAGTTGGTGCTACTTTGCCTTATGGTCAATGCAGTAAGTGACTGTATTATAATCAATACCGTTACCTGATTAGCACAAAAGTTCATAATAACATACAACAACGTAAAAAACTAAATCTTACCTATGACATGTTCAGCCTTTGTGCTTTATTTTCTTTGTTTGCTCATTACTACATCCATATACAGTGCTAAAGTCCAGCATCTTCACGTAGGGAGCACTTTACAAATATGGCGGCACTATTGACGGATGTTCAGGGTCCGTATGCGATTTCCAGTGTATATATCTATGTGGTGACACCAGTACTTGACAATATGACTTCTTATATGAGAATGGCCACTATGGAAATTCTAGTAGTTATAGAATTCAGGTAGTTCCTGTGTTAATTGTTAATGCATCAAAACACACAATTAAACTGCATATATCGCAATTATTTCTGACAATTAATCGTCAGACAAATTTTATAGCCATGGCAGCCTTATTTAGTGAAGCTTAAACCCACAGACATCATCATAATCATCATCATCTTCATCTTACCAGTAGTGCCGAGGAAGAGCAGGACCATGATCCAGTAAACCCAGAACAAAGACAGAGCCAGGAAGGTGCAGAAGGGCTGCAGAGCCAACAGCGGCAGGTGGATGAAAACCTTCCCTGCCACGTGGAAGAGAGCAATGGTGAGAGCCACCCTCTTCCTCATGAACAACATCAGCAGCAACAAGATTCCCTGCGGAAGAACGAAGGTGGACATCAGCAGCACGACACAGCAGAAAACAGCAGTCCAGATCTCATCTCATTCATCCTTACAGTGAATACAGTGGCTGAAACGGCATAGATGAGCAGTCCTTGAGCGTGGTCTTTAGTGGGCTTCATGCCACCGTTGGGTTCTTCGGTTTCAGTCAGATCTTTCGTCATGGTCTCATTCATCGTCATCCTGTAGTCTATATATAACCACCAGAGAACGCTGGTGCCTCCTGGGAACACATGGGAAATTCACACATTGTTAATGATGACATTGTGTTGGTCTAGATCGAGTTGAAGTCAAAATTTTTAGCCCTCCTGTTTTTCTTTTTCAAATATTTTCCAAATTATTTTTAAAGGGTCACGAAAACACATTTTTTTGAGCTGTTGACAGTCGTATATGTGTCCCATACTGCTTAAAACACTATTAGGACACCTATATTTCACTAAAAAGTGTAAATTGGTTGTTTTTGCGTTATTTCAAGCAAATTCGTACTTCCGGTTTGAAACTAATTTTTGAAGCTGGGTCCATGAGATAATAGCGTGTATTCCAGCGTGCAGACTGGACGTCTGTGCCAGAGTGTGTCTTATTACGTCTTACAGTGTGATGCATTAACGCATGAGTAAGGCTTGGTTCAAACCAATCAGCGCGCTCTATTGTGCAACTTCATTAATATTCATTACTGCTGGTGATTGTCCTTTCTCTACAGATTTGGTAAGTGAGCGACCAGTGCTCTTTGTTTATTCAGTTTGTTCATATTGAACTAACTATTGCATCGAGTGTAAACATGTTAGCACCACAACCAACCTTTAACCTCGTGGAGGATTTTCACCGCATTTTGTGACCGGAATAACACACGCGGCTTTCTGACGCTACCTGTCGTGTGCATCTAAGTTTCTGGGAAATGCTTAGGGTTTTTTCTCTCAATCTCCGTGCGGTATCAAATATTGCATGAAAAATACACGCTTAGAGCAGTTGAATCAAATCAAATATCTAAATCGAATCAAATATCTCGTTTGTCGCGAGGGGCATGAATGAATTTCCTGATGGAAAGAGCCAAACTGCAGTTAAAGTCCACTATTTAATAATTTGGCAAATAATTCGACTACAGATGCCCATGTAAACACAGCCACTTTCTCCCGTGTGTGTGTTTTGACTCTGAAACTCAGCGCGTGCCCAAATAGACACTCCCACACCATCCCTCTTTTGTTCCTCCGACACTCCCCCGACACAGAGCTGGACACGCCCACTTTTCTGACTTTTTCCAAAGTAGAGGTGTGAAAACACCCTGCTGAAACGAGGGGGTTTCAGAGCAAATAATTTTTCACAGTATTTCCTATAATATTTTTTCTTCTGGAGAAAGTTTTATTTGGCTAGAATAAAAGCAGTTTTTAAATATTTATAAAAACATTAAGGCCCGTGCACAGCGTCGACGTTTAACGCCTTGTGGCTAAATAAAGGGTGCCAATGGGATCGTGCACACCATGCGCAAAACGGCAGGGGTATAAGCGTCATGTTTAAAGAAACGCCTCATACTTTTTTTTTTTTTTTTTTTTTTGACATGCCGCGTCAAAACCTCCACCAATCAGATTGGCACTTTTGTTCTTTTGCACGGAGCTGCTGAAGTTACAGTATATTCAGTGTGCGAACGCACATTGAAGAAGATGCCCAGAGGCGATATGAACGTGGAGCTACTTATTGCACTGGTGAACAATAGTCATTTCTTCATCGCTAGAGCTGGAGCTGCAACTTCAACCATTCATCCTAGTTCAAGTCACCAGTAACTTTAACAACAAGCATGTCAACTTCCTCTTAGTGTTGCTAACTATTTCCAATGAAAAGTAGCTAAAGCCTACCCAAAAAGTAGCTAAATGTTGCCAGATGATGTCACACACTAATTTGCATATCAATGACATCATCAAGTAGTATCTGACAAGCGTTTTCTTTTTGTTTTGTTTTGTTTTTATTTCAATTATCTTTAAAATTTTTGTTTGTTGCCTTTTTTTTTTGCAAATTACTAATGCATAATTAGAGGGTTAATAATGTTGACTTCAACTGTAGATTCTTCTGGAAGTATTATATCAGCATATTATGTGACAAACCTAATACCCATAATTCACGTTAAATGGAATCTTTCTAGAAGTCAAGTTACATTAATCAAAGCATTACTGTACAACATACAGTATTACAAAAGATAACTGTTAAGTAACTTCTACACCTAACAAATATGTATTGCTTGAGAAGATAAAAAAACTTATCAAAAGTAAAAAAAAAAATTGAGTAAAAAAATTAAATTCCTAAAAAAAAAAATAATAATAAAAAATTTAAATATTATAAATAAAACACGATAACTAATAATTAGGGTCAGTGGGTAGCGGTGTCACCTCAAAGCAAGAAGGTCACTGGTTCAAGTCCCGGCTGGGCCAGTTGGCATTTCTGTGTGGAGTTTGCATGTTCTCCTTGTGCTGCGGTTTCCCCCACAGTCCAAAGCCATGCGCTATACAGGAATGGAGTAAACTAAATTGGCTGTAGTGTGTAAGTGCGTGTTTGTGAATGACTGTGTATGGGTGTTTCCCAATACTGGGTTGCAGCTGGAAGGGCATCCACTGCTTAAAGCATATGCTGTAATAGTTGGTGGTTCATTCCGCTGTGGTGACCTCTGAAATAGAGACCAAGCCGAAGGAAATGACTGAACTAACAATTAGTAATACATTTGTTACAATAGTAATTCATCTTTGGTAACGTTAGTTAATGTTAAGTTGGTTCATGTTAACTCACTGTGCATTAACTAACGCAAACAATAACATTGCATGTTAATAATGCATTAGTTAATGTTGAACTATGATTAATAAATGCTTTACAAGATTATTCATACTTACTTAATGTTAGTATATACATGAACTAATAGACCATTATTCTAAAATGTTACCAAATTACATTTTACAAATCAAATTAAATGTTTAGGTGATATGAGCAAAAAATAATTCATTCATTTATTGATTTTCTTTCAGCTTAGTCCCTTTATTTATCAGGGGTCACCACAGCGTAATGAACCGCCAACTTATCCAGCATATGTTTCCAGCTGCAACCAGGTACTGGGAAACATCCATACACACTCATTCACACTCATACACTATGGCCAATTTAGTTTATTCGATTCACCAATAGCGCATGTCTTTGGACTGTGGGGGAAACCGGAGCACCCGGAGCAAACCTACATGAACACGGGAAGAACATGCAGACTTCACACTGAAATGCCAACTGACGCAGCCGGGACTCGAACCAGTGACCTTCTTGCTGTGAGGTGACAGTGCTAAACACTGAGCCACCGTGTCGCCTTTAGCAAAAAAATGAATAAATACATATTTAATACTGGTCGCTCAATGCATGATGCTAATAGGCTAATATCTACGACAACGGACCAAGTTAAATTTATTAATTAAAAAGAGAACAAACAAATTCTAACAAAATCTGATTAAAAATGACTTTTTGTTTTAAATTATTTTAAAAAGAAGCCAAAAAAAAAAAAAAGCAGGATAAGACCATTTGAATAAACCTGCTAACTTCGGCTGATGCTCAAATGGTCAAAAACACTTCAATCAATCATACTGTATAACTTCACTGCTTGGTTGCTTTACATTTGAGAATAGCTTTTACAAAAAAATGAACGAAGGTGAAAGTGTGTCGCTCTCAGTTTAGGAGGAGGTGAGAAAAGAGAAGAGAAAGCAGACTTGCCCAGAGAACCCAAAACCACCAGTGCAGTGAGGATCCAAACCAGAACAGCAGAGATGTAGCGAATGATCACCATGAGGATCATGGACAGAACTGCGGCATGCACAAAACAGGGTCAGCGGTTAGAGCAAGACTACAGACTGGACTAATATTGCATTCAGCTTTACAAGTATGCAGATTGTCGCTGTCAAATGGAAACCTCATATACAGCGTGGAAAATAAGTATTGAACTCGTCATGTTTTTATCCTAGGGATAATATTTCTAAAAGAGCTGTTGACATGGAATTAAACCCGATTTTCGTAAAAATCACATCAATACAAACATAAAAATAAAACAAAACCATAAATCTGAAAAATGAGTTCTGTGTAATAACAATGGAACGACCCAAAGAGAAAGTGTTGAACTACTGAAACTTATTTAACAGTGATGGCAGCTTAAAGACACCTCTCATATGGAGAATGAAGTCTCATGCATTACTCAGGTGTTGATTTATTCACAGACTTCAACAGTGGGTAAAAATCTTGACGGTTCTGTGGGTCTCATCTAGAGCCGCACAATTAATCGTAAAAAGATTGCGATCTCGATTCGACACTCTAGACCACAGGTGTCAAACTCAGTTCCAAAAGGGCCGCAGCTCTGCACAGTTTAGTTCCAACCCTAATTAAACACACCTGATCATACTAATTGAGTCCTTCAGGCTTGTTTGAAACCTACAGGTAAGTGTGTTGGAGCAGGGTTGGAACTAAACTGTGCAGGGCTTCGGCCCTCCAGGAATTGAGTTTGACACCCCTGCTTTAGACGATCTTAATCGAGCATTTTTACGATTCTGCCAATCATATTCTCAAGTTAAGGGGAGAAGCAAAGGTGGCTACACGAGTCTTTTCATTCTTTCACATACATTGCTCTGCGACAAGGACATGTTGCGGAATATACTTGTGTGGGAAAAGTAAATGTATCATGCAGTATTAAATTATCTATAAATGAAAGACAATGAGTGAATCTAGTGGTTTTATTTTATTATCTGGCTTTTACTTTTGACTGCATTCTTGTCCATTTCTGATTGTTTTAAATTGATGAATTATATCAGACCCGAAAATACTATTTAAGTGCA